TCCAGGAGAGTCAGGACTACACAGAGAAACCCTGTCTCAAAACAAAACAAAATGAACCAAACAAATACAATAACAACAAAAACAGTACCTTGAAGAAATGCCCAATTCCAGTCTAAAATAGGCAATGTACAAGATGAACCACTGACACACCAGACAGCTGGGAATCTACCAACATCGCTGAGATCGTAACAACAACGAGCAATTTGAAGAAGCTTTTACTGGCCAAAAATGGAAAAATCTAAGCTTCTAAAGGATACAGTTACAAGTTATGAATATATCATATAAATCGTTTGACTCTGTGAATTAATAATACTATTCTTAAAATTTAATCAACCGTCTTCACTAGAGATCAGTTTATTATCTTAACAAATGGTAGGAAAGGAGACATTTTTATTCAGCTTATTACATAAGGCTGATAGAGGTGTCACACATATAAAAGAGTTCAAATAATAAGTGAAATGAAGTAATCTAATTAGAAAATTACCATTTTATAACGTTAATGAATCAATTCATCTTGGAATAAAACACCAATGGTTGTTATCATCAAAAACCAGGAACAACTAAGAAAGCAAATGAACTTGTGCCTGCTGAGAGTCTCACCAAAACTACTAACCTGAAGAATGGTTAGAAGACAGGTAAACGTGTTAAAGGTTGCCATGCAGATACAAATAGGTCCAGCCCACAGACACTCTAGTTGCAAAAGATACATTTTATTGAAAGAATGGAACTATGGGAACTAGACTAAGATACCCACTGAAAGGATTTAAGTGGGCATTATGTTCTATTTTCTGGGAATGCACACACAGTAAAAACTGTGTGGTAAGTAAGAATAATGGCAATGGCTACCTTGGGGAATGGTGTATCAGTTAAGACAGAGTACAGAGAGGTGCTTCACAGTTCTATTTCTCCACCTGGCCACTGATTTCAAAGGTGGTTTGCTTATATTATCACATTAAGCTATGCATTTACTTTGCATGGTTTGCTTTATGTACATTATATTTTGTAATAAATATATATTAAGCCAGCATTTAAAAAAATACAAACCTCACATTCCCTTAAGTAGAATATATGAATCAATGGTGTTCAAAAGTATTTTGGCTTTTCAGTTGAAAATATCTGTAAATTTTCTGGATTCCTTTGCCAAATGGTACTATATTAATAGCTGGACACAAACATTTTCCCGTAAGTTACTGCCCTTGAGAAACTGCTGCAAGAACAATGCTTCATTTGGTGGTGGTGCATGCCTGTGTTGTTTCCAGCACTGAAGGGAGAGGCAGGACAACTGGAAGCTGAAGGGTAGTCTGGGCTACATGGGTCCTTGTTTCAAACACACACAAACAACAAAAGCTCTCGTAAGAAAAACACGTATCTGTGAGATTTATCTCCCTGGGTCTAAAACGCTCTGCAAGTGTCTTGACTACTTGGTGAGCAAGTTCAGTTGGTCTCTCAGTAGAGACTGTGATGTCAGCACCACAGACAGAAGTATCAGATTCACACATCTAAAAGCTAAAACGGCTGTGCAAATATAAAAGGGAAGAATAAGTTGTCATGACATTCTTGTCAAAGTGAGTGTATACAACAGAAGAAAATGGTAAAAACTTTTCAAAATAAAGAATAAGGAGTAAAATATTTAAATGAAGATGTTACCATGTAATACATGACAACCCACACCACACGCAAGCTGCTAAAATATGTTTACAGACATATGTACAGGCTTGTGTATGTGTGCAGGTGCACGTGTGTGGGTGCGTCTGGGGAGGTGAGGGTCTGTGCTGTGTGTCATTCCTCAGGAGGCATCCATCTTGCTCCATTGAGACAGGCTCTCTAACTAGGACATGATGCTTGACAAAGGATGGGCTAGCAGGTCAGAAAGAGAGAGCCCCGGAGATCCTGTTGTCTCCAACTACCCAGCGTTAGGGTCACATCTGGCTTTTCACTTGGTCCTGCAGACCAAACTCAGGAACAGCAACTGAATTGTCTCCTAAGTCCCTAAAATAGGGTCTTAATGAATTCACTGATAAAAGTCCCTTCTTCTACACTACTTACCACCCATTTTTCTTAGGCTACATAACTCCCTTTGTTCCATGCTTCTAATTAAGATACACTATTTGTTTAGAATTCTGTGGTGTGAAATTGGGCTAGAAATTTTCTAATATCCATAAAATAAATTTTAAAATGTTTTCCCTCAGAAAGGCAGATAATTTGGTCACAGAGAGTTGATTTCTGTTTCCTTTGTTTTCTTTTCTTATTTTTTTAGAAGCTTGGTAAGCCAATTTTCTACTTAGACTCTACTGTTAAAACTCTTATTTGCTTCAGTATGTGGGCTTTATCCTTTCCATGGTCTGTTATGCAAAAACGATGGCTTCAGTTTTTATTTTTTTAAGTCTTCTGTAAAGCAGTGGGTCTCAACTTGGATGCACATGAGATTGCCTAGGGAACCTAAAACAGATTACTGATGCCCCCTCCTGACCACAGACTCTAAGGGAAGGCATGAGGTGGCCCAGGCTCAGAAGCTCTGCAGGCGACTACAGTGTATTACTGGGGTAGGAACACTGTTGTCCAAATCAAAGTTATTATCTTTTCTGCTGGGGCCTAGACAGAAAATGCTTTTTTAAAATTCTGCAGTCTAACAGACTCAAAGATTACTCAATTTCTTCTCTATGAAGATTCCCCCCACTTTTGGTTATAATTTCAGCGCTCAAAAGCATATTGTCTTATGATTATAATGATCTCTTTTTAAAGTCTAAAAAAAAAAACAAAGGAGCAGTCTTAACTTTCAGCTACTGGTGACTTTGGTTCATGACATACTAAAAAAAAATGTTCCAGTTAAAGATTAAATCTTCATACAAAAAAGTAAAACAAGTATTGAAATTCACAAAAGCTTCTGGCAAAACAATTTATAATTTTTAAACAGTTGAATTTTGGTAGAGCAAGTGAAAGGGCCAAATGCTGAAGCAGAAGCCCTTGCCAGGAAAGTGAGTTGTATACAAGAAAATATCACAAGTGAGAGGACACACAAGGTAGTGAGTGGTTCAAAATCATGTGTGGGCTAGGGTGTGGCTCAGGGGAAAGCGCTTGCTTACCTAGCACAACAGAGGTTCTGGGTTAGATCTCCAGTAGCACAGAAAAGTGATATTTGCATGTCATACACACATTTATAAGCATGGATTCAGATGCTTCCATAAAGTGAACACTTCCATAAAAACTATGGAATACCATGTGACAAAACAGTCACCCCACAAAAACTTACATACCTTTTTAAAAATGGAGTCAATAACTTATAAAAACCTAGCTGATATAATTCCCTTTGTTTCAGAGGGGAGAAAAGGCTAGCAAAATCACTCCGCAGTGCTAATAAAGGCTTGAAGTGAAATCTGGAACAGATGATGAAAGCAAGTAGAGCTGGGTACCAACCTTGTTTCTGAGCACATTGGAAAGCCTTTTAATCTTCTCAATATCTGAGCAGAATCAATCACTCCCTGTTGGCTCCTGCATACTAGAACTTACATACACTCTACCCATAGCAAACTAACACTCTCTTATTTGTTTTCCTATTTGTTTCTCACTGGTAAAAAACAAAAAAAAACAAAAACAAAAACAAAAACAAAACAACAACAACAAAAAACCCTAAGGTTCTTGAAGGTGAGGCAGCCCCCTCTTTCTTCCATCCGGGATGGACATCGTGCCATGCAAGGCTGTGCTCAAACTGCAGGCTACTTCAGGCAGAAACACCATTCATACAGGAAATGGGAATAATGAGTTGGGGAGGAAATTCCTTTGGCCAGAGCATATGTTTATACAAGAAACAACACTGGAAAGGTAGGTCAAGATCAGTTTGGGTCAGACTGATTTTGGGTTCAACATATCCTAAAGGCTTAAGTGGAAATGACCAAGCAGATCTGTGCTTTGGTTCCCATACCTGTACACTGTAGAGCCACCAGGGTCAGATACAGAACTGGGAAAGCTTACTGCAGAATAACTGGAAAAGTCCAGTTCTTAAGGAAGACACACATACATATCAAATATAAAGTACTAGGACCCTTCAATATTAAAACGTAGCCTAAAACTGGACTTGGTAGCACATGCCTTCAAACTCAAAAGTCAAGAGGCTGGGGCAGGAGGACCAGCAGTTTTAGGGTACATAACAAAACCCAATCTCCAAGATAAACAAAACTCAAAAGACTGAAAGTTTATGTAGGTGGTACAAGAGAATTCACGGAACTACCCATTTCATCCCAGAACACTAGGTTGAGAAACACTTCTTCAAGTCTGAACTCACCTTACTCAGTGACAACTAAAACTTTACCAAGGAGAGGACTCTTTTTAATTATAAAAAAGACACAGGTACTAAGCGAAAGCACACAAGGCCCACTCATGTGGATGAGTAACGACCACAGACAGCACTGTCGGGAAGAGACAGAATGAGAGCCGACTAGATGGCGGAGCTGTGCTCCCAGGGCTCCACCAGCAGTCAGGTCCCAGGACAGGGTGCTGCGCTGCCTCCCTTGCAGCTTGCACAACTGACGGCACGCCGTCACCGCAACCTGCACAAAATGGGCACTTGACTGGTGTTTTTTAAGGGTAACTGGTAGTATGGCTTTTTCAGGCACAAAATCCTCAGCAAACCTTGATTATAGGTGTGTTGTGCATAATGTATAGACTATTTTCACCAGTTTAACTCTACTATTCAAATAAAGAAACTACAACACCTAGAGGCTAGTAACTTACTTAAGCAGAGAGGGAGGCAGTGGCAGAATCAGCATTTGAACCCAGAAGTCTGTGGTTTCAATCACTATACTATTTCAGCCAGCCTGGAATTGTCTACTTATGCTCTAGCTATATTACATTTTAGGATCTCATTTTATATTCAATTTCCTTTTGAATATTTGAAAATATAAATTATAGGTTTAAAACATATTCACACATATTTCAGAATAGAAAATCAGGAATACTATTTTATTTGTACTTCTTTAAAATATATGCATTTGTTTTAGATTTACCTGAAGTCCTCCTTGAGTAAAACCCAAGAGCAGGAGATTGGCTCTGTCTTTCTCAGAAGAGATTGGAGTCCAAGGCCAAGCACCATCACTGAGCAGCGGCCACCAGCAAACAACTGCATCCTGACTGGAGTTGATAGCTAAGTGACGCTCTAGTGTCCTGTTTGTGGGGCCGGGTATGTCATAATAGGAAATCTAATGGTAAACAAACAAACAAACAAACATATGAAAATGTTTCTTGTAAAGGATATAAAATCATCTGAATATTTTTAAAAACTCAAAGCATCTGTAAATGTAACACACATGAGTAAATATGCATCTTCAACATTTTCTTAAGAGGATGTCAGAATTTACCAAATTCTTTTGACACATATATAAAAAAGACATATGTTCAAAATTCTCCCAATTTTTAGCAGAGGAAAGGAAAAAAAGAAATGTGAGTTAGGGAGGAACTAGATGTAGCGATTCCAATCAATACCAAAATGTACAGTCATGGTTGCCTGACAGCAGCGACCTACACATGGGGTTTAGGATCAGCTATATTAAATGACAAGCTCAGTACTACTGACCACGAGTGTCTGACTACTATTTAAGACATAACACGGTAACAATGACTGACATCAATAAAAGGAAAAAAAAACAACTTGAGGCAAATATCTCTTAAAAAGAATATATGAAACGTATACACACATATTTGCATAAAGGGATAAGCCATGGCATCGCACGAGAAAGTTTATGCAGCTTCTGAGAATTACACTTCACTTTCTTAGGAAGGATTTGTCGAATTTATTATTCAAACTATGTTATTTTGGAACATGGTTATTTGAAAACATAAGCACGGCACCATCTGGGTGACACATGCCAAGGAAATATAGATTGCACCGTATTTCTGCTTAAGGAATTAATGGAAGACTGATAGCTTGGAAGGAAAAAAAACTATCTTGCCATTGCTGGTCAGCAATAATCGAACCACTTTCTGGGGATTAAGCGCATGGCTAAGCCTACTGGACCAGACACTAGCAAAGGGCAGGGGGTCTCCTTATCAGGGAAGCGCTTCTGGAGCCAGCCTCACTACATGACAGATTGCTTTCATATTCCTGTCTGCAAGGCAACAAAGGATGGCAGTAATGCGATAATGCCAGAGTGCAATGGGTGTTAAGAACCCGCTGCATTTATGTATTGTATTTAGTAAATAATCAGGCTCATCCAAATTGTGATCTCACCACTCAACCAAGGCCATTAAAATCAAGGTTAATGCTTTAATAATCCTCTGCTATTTTTTTTCCAACATGGTCAAAAGGAACTCTTTTCTATTTGCATGGCCATAATATTATTGACCTCTTCATCCTCTGAATACACATCAAAAGGAACCAAAATCAAAGTAATTACTGGTGTTGTTCTCTCATAGTAAACATTTAACTCCTTGCACCATCTCTCAACTGTTAAACTGAATTGGATTTTTAAAATGTGGACAGGAAAGCTTGTTAAAGGTCAGCACTTCCAGGATATTTACCCTGAAATTCTTCTTGTCAAAATTATTTCAGTGTGAAATAATTAAATTATGGTATAACTGGAAAGAAAATCCAAATGGGCAATGATAAAACACAGATGCATTTTTACATTTTTAAGTCGAAATACTTATAGTTAAGTTTTTGATGTAATTATTACAACTTCCTTCTTATTTGAGAGAACTACTATAATCACTAAATATTTAAAGACACATGCACATTTATTTTGGTGTCCAGCTTGACATGAAGGCATGTTACAAATTTCTAGATGATAAAGTCAAGTTAAAAACGAGTGATTGGCATACTCAGTTTTCATAGAATGCATATCAGTTGTTGTTTAAGACTTCTGTTTACTGGGAATTTTAATGGCACTGGTGTTCTGTGATCAAGAGAGCAGGGAAAATGGGTAAGTTTCTTAACCTATCCTTCCAGGTGGTAAAGGGTGGTGTTCACTAATTAAATGTTTCAAACATTGCAATAAGAAATGAAATCCATGGTCTTTCCAGGAGGAAACATATTCCTCTAGTATGTAACATTCCTCTAGTATGATGTGGAGTGCCAATGGCAGAAATAATGTGTTAATTCCCCTATTTAATCAATATAGATCCAAAGACTAGGCCTATATTTTTAAATATATTTTTTAAGAAAACCTGACACTTGCACAATTTTCCTTAGCTCTCATTAGCTACTATCCTTCAGTTGAGAAGACGTCACTCAGTTACCCATCATATATGAAACAAAGGTCCTAGTCACATGGGATTTTACATAATATGGCTAATAACACTATAAGTGGCTTTAGGTAATGAAGAGTGATACATTTTAAACCAACATTAGGAGAAAACAACATTTTAGAATCAATCTAGGTAAACAACTTGGGGGAAAACAACACTGTAATAATGTTAAAGGGATCCTTTTATTTTTGACTAACTAAATATAATACATGAACATCATAAATTGCCAATTAAAGAAAACCATTATCCTGAAAATTTTATAGAAACTCTACAAATCTGGCATACAAGCCAGATCGTATGTTATTATTTCCATGTTAAACTCTTTCTTATAAGAATCGATGTTTCTATTAAACAAATTATATATTTCCTATGTCACTATCACCCCAATCATCATACATAACAATTCCAAAGTGCAGAAGTTAGGTACAAAAAACAGCTTCTAAGCACACACACCAATTACAAGCCACAGGGCTGGCTTTGCCTCTGCTATAGACACTCAAGGATGGCATACATGTGCATCATTTTTAAGAAAGCTGTGTATCAGCTCCGTTCCCATTGAACAGTGAACTGTCTCAAATCCACGTCACAGAGGCTGGATCAATCTTGCAAACACAAGTCATTGTTGAAAAGATGCCTTGAACTGAAACAGCCTGGAAAATGTATTAGATGCTCACCCTTGCAGAGAGTATGCCTTTCCAGCAGTTAAAATGTAATGTAGAAATTTTAAGTACATCATTTAAAATAAAAATCCTGCCTTAACAGATGTAAAGTCCATGCTACAGGGAAACAAATTACCTGGAGTTAGCAGAGGGAGAAAGACTAACATACCTGAAAGAAACTTCTTTTTGTATTTCTTCCAGTGTGGGATATAAGGGTCTTCCCATTACTTACTGTATTTTCTATTAATTTTTGAAAAACCCTTCTTCCTTTTTTCCTTTCTTAGAGTAAAAACCAGAGTAGCTATATAGATACTTAGTGTAACGTGAAAACAGAGTATATACTAACATAACATGAACACCAACTTTGCCCTCCATAAGCTCAAATATACCAGCATTAGGCCTCCACCACAGGAAAGATACAAAGGCAGATTCAGGTTTCCTGAAACCCACAAATGTTATGGTTCAAGAGTAAAAACCATAACATTAACTCATGCAATGTTCCAGTGTGCCTTAATCAGTAGTAATATGACTATATACATTGAAGTTTCTACCTTATAATCCAAGGCTGAGAGTTTTTCCGGTTTCTTATTTACATCAAGAGAATCCATCTTCTTTGTAAACTGAATAAAACATAGTTTGTTTTGTGCCAAAAATGATAGGATGATGAAACTGTCTGTAAGAAGAGCTAAAACAGGGATTTAATGATCCCAAGTTAGAACAAAGTTATAGTAAGTTAACACATTTCAACTGAAATATTATTAAAAGATACTATAACAAAATAAATATTAATCAAAGTTACTAACATATTTCTAATGATATTGAAGATAGTAGGAATAAGCAATAATCATCAATACAATAATATGGATTTGGTATTTTCCCCTCTTTTTCAGTGACTATTCCCATATAAACTAATGTCTGAAGAACATCACCAAAGGAAGTATTTGAAAGCCAGAGCTCAAAACACATAAAGAGGCTTGGCGTGTTGGCACAGCCCTTTAATCCCATTACTTGGAAGGCAGAGACAGGCAAAGTTTGAGGCCAGCCAAGGATACAAACTAAGAGCTTGATTAAAAAAAAAGATATAAAAGAGACTTTTATTTGTGTTTATGTACTATTTCTACATTCATATAAGCCATTTGATAATAAAGTAGATTGATATTGATCAATTTTTTCCACCAACTTCATTTTTTTTTATTTAAAATTTTTCATCTATAGCCAGGAGGAGGTGGTGGCACAGGCCCTTAATCCCAGAACTTGGGAGGCAGGGGAAGGTGAATCTGTGAGTTTGAAGCCAGTGTGGTTTACAGAGGGAGTTCCAGACAGCCAGGGCTACACAGAGAAACCCTGTCTTAAACACAAACACACACACACACAAAAAAAATTATCTGTAATCTCTCTTTTGAGGACTTACAAACTGAGTGAAAGAAAGTATACTACATCCAAATGTATATTATGCAAATTAACATTTAATAATGAAGATTAGCAAAAAATATTTCTATAGCTTTATTTCTAAAGAATATAAATAGGCAAATAACCTCACAGGTTATATAGTGTCATTACTATGTTAACTGCTAAAAGGCAAAAAAAAAAAAAGGTATAAAGAAATTACTGAACATTGTCTACCCTTTTCTCCATCCTCCTCTGGGTGTGCACGCAGTGGCCGACGGAGGGTCTGCACAATCACTGGGGACTCTGGAGAGCTGCCAAGAAACCACATTGCTCTCGAGTCCCATGAGAATGTGAAATAAGATAACTCAGACAACAGAAGAACATGAATATGAGAAACCTCATAGTTGGTGCTATTTGCAAAGTCAATGAAGGGCATAATGAGATGAGGAAAAGAGAACACCTCCTTAGAGAAGCCCTCTTGGCATCACACCACTACATGGTGGAGGAAGTGGCTACACCACCTGTTGTTATCAGTGGTGTTGCTAATTGTAGCCATCCTGCAGAGTACTTTCTCTAGGGTTTGAAATTATGCCAGACTGTCGTCAGGAGCACTGAGCAGCGCATATAGCAGAAAGGGGTCTTTTCGTCGCACCTCTGTCCTCTCTGCTACACCACATCTTCCTTTGTTATTCTATTTCAGATACTGTTTTTAATCTTTCACGGTAATCTGACCTGTTTTGTTGAATTTTTTTTACTCCAAATAAAGGAACAGAAACTTAAAATCCAGAGTCAGAATAATAGAGCAGAAAGAAAATAGGTCAGAACTCATGTTCAGATCTCAGCTCAGTCACTTCCTGACTACATAACCTTAGCCATCACCATGAGTAGCTCAGCTTCACTTTCCTTATCTACTAGAATGAAAATAACCATATCTTCTACAGTCCCTTTCTTGAATTAAATATAATGGACTCTTTATAGCTCAACAAATATTAGTAATCTACCTACTCGATAAATGGCTTAAAAGCTTTTGAATGTGCTTTATACCAACCATGCACAGTACTGTCCCTTAATAGATCTGGCCTTCCCTGGTGCGTCTGGCATTGGCTTTTGCTATTTAGAAAGTATAACACACATTATTCAGAATCTAGTATTCATTAACAAGTAACAACTCTGCTTCACATAGGAAGCAAAGCACTCAGGGTGTTTCACCAGGGCCTGTCTTGGCATATTTGTATTATTTATGCATAATTCATTGGGAAATTTTTGAATTATCAATAACAGAGAAATTATTCTTAATGAATGAGAAAAGCTTACTTTAAAATAATATTAAAAATGTAAAGGAAAGATTGGAAAGCACTTAGACTCTGAGCCTGACACTTAAGAAGAAAAGTGCACAGACATTAAATATAAGTTGAAGCCTGTTATTGGTCCCAGGGGTTGTAAGTATGCTATTACAAGTAATTACCTGTTGTATCTGCAAGTCCCCAGTGGTAATAATTAGTCTACCTGTTGACAAAGTATTTCTCCTGCCCCACTGTTAATGTAGGCAGTTGATTTGCACAGGGGTGTAATTACCATCACTGATGGTGTCTGAGATGAGCTTCCCCACCAGGCTTCTGTCAATCACCACTTTCTCCAGCTGAGGCCCGGAAAGGCTTAGGGACACCAGCACACCTGAACCAAAGAGGACCTGAAACCAGGTAAGGGGAAGAGAAGAAGACATGCTGAAAATTAGAACCTTTTAAAAATCTCTTCAATCATACAACCCACATAGATATTTTCACATGCATTGAAATCATGAAATCACGGTTTTTCTTCTCTGAAAGTCATCAACATTCTGAGTATGAGACCAGCAGGTAAACGCTGCAATGTCGTCAGCAGACATTTAATGTGGTCCCTGCTATCAGACACCTATTCTTCTAACGCTTAACAAGTGCCTATGCAGAAACAGCGGCTTTGTTTTGTACTCAGAGTTTGTAACGTGTAGTATTCAAACACTGAAAGGTTAAACTTTGTATCAGAAACTTAAAGACTATTTTGTGATGTTTAGGTAGTCATTGCTGCTCACTGAATCCACAACGCAGCCATGATTACAATATAAACAACTAATTTGAAACTTAAGCCCTAGTCACTTCCAGAAATAACAATTTATTTATTTATTTAGCTGTCAGTCTATCTATCTATCTATCTATCTATCTATCTATCTATCTATCTGTCATCTATCTACCTACCTATCTATAGGTTTTTCAAGACAGGGTTTCTCTGCATAGCTTTGTCACATGTCCTGAAACTGGATCTGTAGATCAGACTGGCCTTGAATTCACAGATATCTGCCTGCCTCTGCCTCCTGAGTGCTGGGATTAAAGGCATGCACCACCACAGCCCAGCCCAAATAAAGATTTTATAACCAAAATAATTAAAAGAAATACATAGCAAGGCAATAAGGTAAACTGTTAAATGTTGTAAAGTCATATGTAGGGCACACCATCAATAGTTTCACAAGGAAAACCAAAAGCAGTGAAGCTCTGGCCTGTCAGGGTCAGTGCCGAGCAGCTGTTCACTGAAGACGGCTGGATAGAACTGTGAGAATTTTACAGCACTCCTTTCCATTTGTAGCAGCGTAATTCATTCATCTCCAAATGTTCCAAACTTCTGAAAGGACTCTGCATATGTGTGTGCTTGTTATCTATGAGATTTTGAAATATCAACATTGGAAGAAATTGTTTCACCTTCAAGGCAACAGACTCAAAGCTGATGAATCATGGAATAGCATATGCCATAAGAAGAAAAAACCCAATTGTTAGTAAACTAATCATGGGCATGCCAGCCAAACTCAAAGACACCCAATTGTTAGTAAACTAATCATGAGCATGCCAGCCAAACTCAAAGAAAACCATGACTGAAACCACACAGGGAATCCCCCGCCCACCTAGGCATCATGTCCTAGCTAGTGATGATGATTCTGTTAAAACGAATTTGGACATGTGTGAAAGATGAGTAGCACCAGGGACCAGAGTCCTTGGGTGTGTGTGTGGGGGGGGGGGACACCACAGTTGCCCTACTGCTAGAATCTCGGTCTTAGGCAACAGAAACCTTGCTTGTATCTGAGTTATAGACTGCTCTATTCCATGCCCTTGCCTCTGCAAAGCCACAGTGGGAGATGGGAAAATTAATCATCTTTAGGAGTTTGGGAAAGAGAAGAAGGCACAGTTGTTCCAAGAGTTACAAAATACTTCAGAAATTAATTAATCTCTACTGAATTAATCCAGCCTTATTACATATCTTGATAGCAAATGATTCACTATTTCTATGGAAATTTCATAGCACCTGGTTGTCGCTCTCCAAATTTCCCCTTCTCAGACATTCAGAAAGACATGATATGAGGCTCAATTTGTCTGGCTGGCTCTTCCCTTTCAAGTTTGCTCAAAACAGCACTAAAACTTCCTTTTCAACGTATTTTTCTTTAAAAAAATGTATAGCTGACTTCCTAAGCATACTTCTCTTAGTCACTAACGACTGGTTTCTCATGATACTGGCTTGATTACATTTACATTTGTAACTTCAATGCTAGGCACAGGAAATGCATGGAGAAAACACAGAACTAGCTCATTAATATATCAGATAGTCGCACTCACAATGACATGGGTACCCCTGCAATTGTCAATAATGTGCTTGGCTGAGAAGAGAGCACAGTTGGTAGTGTACTTGCCTAGCATGCAGGAAGTCTTGAGTTCTTCAAAAATTTTAAATTTATTTTATTTGCTTTGGTATGCATATGTACATTCACATGCTAGTTGCATGCATGTGCCACAGCATGTAGGTGGAGACCAGACAAGTACTTGTAGGGCTGAGTTGTGTCCTTCCTCCATCATCAGGACCATGAAACCACAGACAGACTGCAGGCTTTAGGAGAAACCTTTACTGGCTTAGCCATCTCACCAGCCCAAAGTTCTGAGTTCTGTATCCAGAACTGAATAAACTAACTGGGCATGGTGGTGCATTCTTACAATCGTAGCATGTTCAAGGTAGAAACAGTAGAATCAGAAGTCCAAGGACATACTTGGCTGTGTAGTTAGTTGAAGGACAGGTTGAACTACTTGCTACCTGACCCTACCTCTAAAAAACAAAACCAAACAAAACATAACACATGAAACATAGACCTGAGTGCTGCCAGTCACGACATCACTTGATAGCTACCCTAATTGGGACAGCCCCAATTGCCTTAAACACATGGGGTAGGACATCCTTTGGTTTATTTAACAAGCCCACAACTAAATTTAATGGATGAAAAATGAGCCAAATAGGCTAATAGATGAGGCATGAGTGTCATAAAGAAGTGGCATCAAGCCTATTATGCAGTTCGGATATAGGTTGGGAACGTACTAAGGGGTAGATCTAGAAGTTGAGGTTCAAACTAAAAACTGCTTTCCTAAAACTTCAGTATTAGCCTCACTTTTCTTCAGTTGCATCTCCGCATATATTCAAAGACGACAGCACATAGAGCATGACTTAAAATCAGCAGTGGCTGGTTGTGTGACGCTGAGTTACTTAACATCTCTGTATCTTCACTTTCTCATCTGAAAGAAGACACGATACTATCTTCCTCACAGGATGAGGGTTAGGTAACTTTATTAACAGAATTTGTAATAATGCCTGGCACACCGTTTGCAATGATTACTGCTGTCCAACCATTCCTATCAGTTCTCATCATACCGTTTGCTATCTCTGAAGACATTCTTTGTCTTAAATAAAAACTCAGCACCCATATTGGACTCAGAATTGTATATGAAACACTGGCCTCCAGATGATGACATTTTAACTTTTATTTATTAATGTTGTATGGATACTATGTGAGTGTATGTACATGTCCTGTGACACACATTCCAGGGGGCAGGCTTGAACATTAGAGGACAACTCTTGGGAGGTGGTTCTCTTTTTCAGGGTTCCAAGAAGCAAACTAGAGCCAACAAGCTTTTGTGGCAAGTGCTTTTACCCACTGAGCCATGGCATCAGCACTCCAGGTACATTCTAATCAGAAAAGGGACAATCTTTTGAAACTTTTCCAATTTGCAATGGTTTCATAAGGGCATTTACCTTCAAGCTTCAGAACTATGGAACTAAATTTGTTCACCCTTCATGTTTCTTTCTCTGTATGTTCTGTTACCAACATCATTACCACGAAAGAATTTTCCTCTCCTGACACAAGCTGCTCTACAGTATATGAACCTATGCTATGTTATAAAATTCATTCCAAAGGGCAGTTTTTGTGGAGATGGAGAAGAAACATGAAACCTGGAGGAGTAGGTGTGAGACGCAATTGATACTGGAGGAGATTAAGAACCCAGGGTGTCAGAGAGCAGGAGGAGGGGCACACACAGCACATGATCTGCACACAGAGAAGGTAGCAGTGACTTGCATTTGAGCGCTCCATTAGGCCTTTCACACACTTACTCACAGCCATCCATCCCACATATATTCATTCAGGGTATCACACGAGCCAGGCCCTGTTCTGAGTACCCCACCTACATCAGTGAACAAAGAAACAGTGCCTTGGTTTTCCCTATCCACATGGGGCTTGCATTTGAATGTAGATATAGATAATAATGAATAGTTCAAATATAATAGCAGTTAGTGCTAAGATGTATGGAGGAAAAGCACAGCAAGATGGAGATTCTAGGAGGATGGCTGCTTTAAGCCTGATGAACAATAAACAAAAGGCCTTCTTGAAGAAATGTCACATGACTATAGATCCAAAGAAAGGGAAGTGACAGTCTACATTAAGTACCTAGAGAAATGGATTTAAGGCAGAGGGACAACAGAACAAAAACTCTGACTATGCTGTGGATGACCGGGAAAAGCTGGCCCATGTACCTGAGAGAGAACAAGAGGCAGTCCTCAGAGATACAGTGTGCAGAGGAAGTCAGGGGCCAGCTTACACTGGAGCCTGTTACTGAGAAGACATTACATTTTATCAGGAATCTATGGTAAGGGAGGGGATGGGCAAAAGCATGTAATCCATTGGAAAATAGTTCCAGCCACCACAAGACAAGATGAGGACTTAAACAAGAACAGCCATACTAGAGGAAAATGTCATCAACAGTCTTAAGATACCTCATTGACCAACTCACTGACAGCCTGTGGGCTACCCATTGACAAGGGCAGTTATGAATGTGGCCCAACACCAACTGGTAAGCTTACTTAAAACATTATGGGATTTCTTCATTATCTATTTTTGAAAACTCAACTGTGTGGTACTTGAACATGACTGTAGACAATACTATCATTTCTCAATATCAAAAGGTTGGATATGTCTGTAAGAGTATTCATAAGCATTTGCTGAAGGACTGACTGTGGCATGCTTGGCATAAGCAATATGCTTTACTGAGGTAAGGAATGTCAGAGGCAAAATTTAGACTATGGAGCATCAGGAGCTTGGTTTTTAACAATTTAAGTCACCAACAGAAATACAAGTAAAGATACCCTTGTAAAAAGTAGAAAGGGAGTCATCAACAATATTAAGGCCACATTTAAACACAAGCCAAAACTGTACAATGGGAAAAGGAAAGCATCTTTAACAAATGGTGCTGTCATGACTGGATATTGACATGTAGAAGAATGCAGATAGATCCACACCGATCACCATGCACAAAATTCAAGTCCAGGTGGATCAAAGACCTCAACATAAATCTA